AGTTCAATCCCAGGTTCCGCAAAAAAATAAAGCAAGAAAGAAAAGAAAATGCTCCACGAATGTGTTCTTCTCCATTCCTTTTTCCTGTCCGTGTTTCTGCTGTGTCCACAGACTATGTAATAAGCACAAGCTTCGAGATGTACACTACAGCTTCTCTGACCATCTTTAAAATAGAAACATAGAACAGTACAAGCCAGAAGCACATGCATTTCCTCCCCAGTTTCTTGCTATATAATATAGCGAAACAGACTAAGTCAGACCAGAAAAAGAAAATCTAAATGTGAAGCGCTTTGCTTTCTTGGCTCATGGCTGAATTCGGGCTCATGTGAAGCGTGGGCTGAGTGCTGGGCTCGTTGTCTTTTCCCCGGTGCCTCCTGCAAGGATCACGCCAATCAGAAGGAGATTGGGTGTAGCCCCGTGTAGTCTTGACGTCAGAGGTCAGAAGTGGAAGTGCACAGAGGCTAGGAAGCTCGGTGGCATCGCTTCCCGCGGTCTGGGTCCAGCTCTGCCGCTCTCCGTGTCGCTGTCTTCCCTGGTCTCTCCCAGGCCGCGTCCGGGGTGCTAAACTGTGCGCTTCTGGGTGCTGCGGGCAGGCTTCTAGGAAGGCGCGCCTTTAACACCGCCCTTCCACTTTTCCCTTTCTTCCCTCAGAACTGTGAGGGATTTCAGCGTCCTTTGAAAAATAAGACAAGGAGGAGGAGCTCTTGGGAGGTGCGATCTGCAAGCGGGGCTGGAGGAAGTGGGAAGCAGGCCTCCAAGCTGCGGGTCTCCAGCTCCCAGCCCCGGCTCCTGCCCTCGGCCCAGACGCGAGGAGTGTGTGCGCATCCGCCCTGCTCCCTGAAGGGCAGGAAAAGCGATCGGAGCTCCTCCCGGCCAAAACCAGGAGCCAGTGGCTGTGCCTTACTTAGAAATGACTACTTCGGTGATCAGAAACGGGGCAAAAATCCTGCGCCATTAGGGAAAACTCCTCCTGCCAAGATCCAAAAGAGCAAGGACGGCCTTGACGCCTCTAACGAAAACTTATTTTTCATTCAACTTAATAAAGCAGCGTACAATTTTTTTATTGTTATTTCTGGAAATAAACATTAGCATCCTTTTGGGATAAAACAAGTTAGTGGTCATGAAACCCTGCTGCAACCCTTCCAGATTCCCTTTAGAAGGCTGCCAGCGCCCACCAGTGTTCCACGTCGGTGTCATTGTCGCTGACGTGTGTGTATTGCTCTCATTCCTGATGTCTCACTGGCCATCACTTCACAGACATTTTCCTGTCTCAGCGTCACCCCCGTGGACACCTCTTTGCATTTTCTCACTCCCAGCAATGTTGTGCGTTTGCAATTGGCCCTGGGGATTCAGTTCTATTTCCCTGTACAAATGCTTTTTCTTCCTGGAAGAGTGTGTTCTTTTATAAGCTGTGTTTACCTCATAGTTTTTCCATTATGTTGCCTTTTTTCCCTCTTTTCAATATACAGCATTCCATTTTGCAAATTAAAAATCAGAAAAATTCATGAGGAAAACAAAACTATTCTGCTTCCCTTTGTACACAACTGAAACAAATAAATATGTATTTGTTTCTACTATTCTTTTTTCTATTTTTATTCTAGGTTTTCAGTTTTAGTTTTCATTTTTTATCATATGAAAATTATTTATGGTTCAGTGTATAGATATGAAGTAATTTTTCTTCACACCCATAGTCAACTATTATTTATGAAAGTGACTTGAAATAACTTTTACACATGGATTTTTATATAAACCATAATTCATTGCCTAGAAGATCAGATTCAATGGTGATCTTAAGTTTTTCAAAGTGCTTTTCATTTTAAAAATTAGAATTGACACCTCCTTTTATCTCCCATAAACGCTACACCTTCTCAAAGCAAAACAAAAAGTCCACTTTTCATGTAATTTTTTTCAAAGTAGGAACTGTTATCTAACTGTCCATGAGACCCTGAATGAATTTCTGTCACCCATCCGCCATGGTGAAATTCATCTGTAAATAACAACTACAGATGACCTTCAGCTTTGAGAAAATTTATTTGACCAGAAGTTGATGTCAGTCACCCTGAAACAGGGAATCTCCCTGTGTTAGTTAGTATCTTGTTACTATAACAAATTACCTAAGATAATTAATTTATGAAGAGAAAGGAGGTATTTTGGCTCATGGTTTTGGAGGTTCTAGTCTAAAATTGAGCTCCATGATGGGGAATCAGGTGACAGTGGGGAGGGCATGAGGCAGAGAAAGCTGCTTACATTATAGGTAAGCAAGAAAAAGAGAACAGGGACCCACTGTCCCCTTTGAAGACACACCCCAACAGCTGAAGGACCTCCCACTAGGCTTCACCTTTCAAGGACCACAGCACTTCCCAAAAGCTGCTCTCTGACAAAGAAGCCTCTGGGGGGCATTCAACATCCAAACCATGTAAGCCCTGATATAAAGCACGTGACAGCAACTGAACAACAGATGATTAAAATTTTAAAACCTGGCACTTGGAATAAAATCACAAGCATGAGAGTCCAGGAAAATGGCTCAGTAGAATAAGCACTTCCCGCACAGAGCCTGAGTTCAATCCCCAGTTCCACTAAATAAATAAATAAATAAATAAATAAATAAATAAAGCAAGCAAGCAAGCATGGGGCCGGCAAGATAGCTCAGTGGACCAAGCACCTACTTAGGTAAGCACAGGGACCAGGGTTTGGTTCCTGATACCACATACCGCACCGGCCCTACCCCCAGGTGCGCTGAGCAGACCACAGTGATCAGGCCTGGTAGCACCTGCCTATAATCCCAGCACTGGGGAGGCTGAGACAAGAGGATCACTAGGAGTCCAAGCTGTGTAGTGAGACCCTGTACCAGACACATTAAAAAAAAATCACAAGCATGATTTCCACTAGAGATAGGTACAATCAGTGAAAAAAACCCATTTTTTAAAAATGTTTCTTTTAAGCTAAGACTTTAGATAAGAACATTGATATAAGTTGCACTTTTAAAATATTGAGGGCCAGGGATATAGCTCAGCAGCATACCGCCTGCCTGGAGAGCACAAGGCCCTGAGTTCAATCCCTGATTTTTTAAAAAAAGAAGAACATGAAAAATTCCATACAGGACAGCTCCTCCTTGGATATACAGTCCAAGTATTCTGAGCACATGTCTGATAGCTTCTTTCATTCCTTTGTTTCTTTTCTTGGGGCTTAACTTCTTCTCACCCTGCCTTTTCCCAACTCTCACACCCAAATTTTATTTAGTGCAATTTATCCTGAAGGGGGAGAGTTCTAAATGCAAGGAAAAGATTCTATACAGGTAGATGGCCTTTCCAGCCTGTTTTCATGATAGCATAAAACATTGGAAGTTACTTTGTGAGGAGCTGTGAGGACATAGCCAAGTAACCACCTCTGATCCTCATCCAGTGCAGAATAATCATCAAGATGATGGTCATGCAAATTTCACTTATAGTAATACAAAAAGACAAGAAATAAAATTTGGTAACTTAGTACTACTACAACCGCAGTAGGAATGCCATAGCAACTACTTCTGCTATAGTGGACTTTTTTAAAAATGTATTTGGTACAGGGTCTCACTACGCATCTTGGAGTCATAGTGATCCTCCTGTTTTCAGCCTCCCCAGCTCTGGGATTACAGGCGTGCACCACCACAACCTGACTCACTGGCCGGCTCAGCATGCCCAGAGAGCAGGGCCAGTGTGGCTTGTGATGCCGGGGATCGAACCCTGCTTCTTGTGCTTGCCTAAGCAGGCATTTAGTCCACTGAGCTATCTCACCAGCCTTGTCCTAGACATTTTTCAAAGAGCTAAATAAGAAAAAAATCAACAGGTCTATAAATGCCAGCGCTTTCTAGTGTCTACTTCAGATGATTTTTCTTTTGCATGTGCAAGAATTTTTTTTTTTTAATGTTTGCAGAAGATTCAGGTCTATCATCATGTGTCCTTGAATCATGTGCTGCAGAAAGCTTTCTAGTCGGTAGATGACCCTGTTGAACCTCTCACGGGCCGGTTCTGATGGGGTGGGTGGGAGAATCCTGGGCCACAGTACATCAGAGCTCTATGAAATGAAGACTTCGGTAGGAGCAAGTGAAAGTAAAAGCTTAACCCTGGAGGTACCCCACCATTTCATTTCTACCCTAAGTCATTTTTTTCTCTATGTTAAGTCAGGTAATTGCTTTGCCGATTTCTGAGATTCTGAGTGTCCATGACTTTGCCTTTCATCTGAGTGTTTATTCATCGGACTGGAATAGCTTTCAGGCTGCTTAAAAATTTAATTTGACTTTAATGCCTAGTTATCTAAGACTCCCTGAGGCTATGATGAAATCACAGTGGGGAAGTTTTGATCTGACAAATGGCCATTGTACGGGAGCCTTTGATCCTCACCGAAGTGTGAACCAGCCGCCCCTCGTGCCACTGAGCTGTAAGCAAGATCAAATTGGGCGTGATGGGTGGTCGGCACTGGAAGAATTCTGGCACTCCCAGTGGGGCTGCTGCAGCCTATGAGGTAGAGATCGGAGCTTCTGGAAATATTTAGCCTCTTAAAGGAATTGGTAAGCAGAGGCCAGGATGAGAATTTTCCTGGGACCTTCAGGTACCATGTTTCTGTTCAGTGATATGAACTGAAAGTAGAAATTATCAGTCCTTGTTTTCCCATGCCTGAGACCTACTGGGGTTTTCCAAATTTTTGAAAATTAGAACAAAAAAATTAACTTTTAATTTACTTTTCTTTTAAAAAAAATAATAGAAAATGGAATGAATTATGAAGAGAGTGAGAAAATAAGCAAGTTGCTGAAGATCATTGGATAGTGTTGCCCTGCTGGGTAGAGAACCTGTCTTTATAAATAAAACAATGTCTTTTAAAAGCAAAGGAACAGATGTCAGTTTTGGAAAATGACCTTGATTAAGCTGACTCGGAAGCAGCTAGACTCGGTGAGCAGGCGCTAAGCATTGCCCTTCCTGAAAGGCAGGCACGGTCTGACTCTGCAACCGTCTTCTCTCTGACAGATGGGGAGCTCTCCATATCGAATGAAGATGACTCCCTGGAAAACGGGCAGTCCCTGAGTTCCAGCCAGCTGTCGCTGCCTGCGCTGTCCGAGATGGAGCCAGTCCCGATGCCCAGGGATCCCTGCTCGTACGAGGTGCTCCAAGCTTCAGACATCATGGATGGGCCAGGTAATGCCCATGGCGGGGTCAACAGGGAGGACCCCAGAGTGTCACCTTGGAGACCTCGGCCTGGCTGAACTTAGGGTCCTATTTTGGACCATTCTCTGTGTGAGAATCTGGAAATGTAGATTAAACTGACCTATTAATTGTTCATATTTATTTAGGATAAGAAAATATAGGGAAATTTTGCATATATTATCCTATGGTTGTTAAAAATTATTTTTTATAACTTTAATCACCTTAAAGGGGTTATAGCTTGTTTTGTCACATTAATGATCTTAAGTGTCTGTTTTGTTTTTGAACATGCATCTCTGTTAAGATAAAGCACAGACGCCTATGTTCTGCGTGGTATCTAACTTGCCTCTTCAAAAGGCTCGGCCACACCCTTTAATTTCTAGTCTCAGTATTAGAATTAATGCTTGTGTCAGTTTCCTGGATACATTCAGGTAATTCAATTGTTGATTAAGATGTGTACAATTTTCTGGGTAAGTAGGAGTGTGCCACTAGGAGATGGTCAGGCGATGCCACCGGGCCACGGCCTCTCTCTTTGGTCCAGAGGCACCCAGGTGGCCATTACTGCTCTTAGGAGGTTTGCAGAGTGGGCTGATCGGCCCAACGATAAGTCCTTCCAACAGATGGGAATGGCTTATGTCACCAGAGAGGAATCTCTGGGACTAGCTGGAGCATGGGCAGAAAATCCAAGGCCCTTCTGCATGCCAGATGCAAAAGCTCACGTGCACGGGTGCCCTTGTGGGCAGATGGAGGAGGTTCAGTCCCACACTCTACTGTGAGGCCTGGTAAGGCCTGGTTCCCTCGGTGCACTCAGTGCTGACAACAAAGGACGTCCCTAAGACAGGGAGAGCTCTTCTCTTGGGGATCCTTCGCAGGCTTTGCTGTTGTGCAGAATGCTGCTCCCCCGATCAGGGAGGAGGGAAGCACTGTGCCAGGTGAGCTTTCTCACTTGTCCACATTCTTCCCTCTAGGGAGGGTCTTCCAAGGAGAGCCGTGGTATTTTTTAACCCAACCTCCCTTTACACAGTGGAATCAGGTGACTTGATTGTTTCAGTGAGGTCTGTAATCCCACCAAAGCCTTAGTTTCACTCTATCTTCACCCAAACTGGAAGAACTGTAGAAAGGTACATGTAACCACCTTGTGCCAGCTCCCAGCTGAAGCCTATTGAGAGTTCCTGAGGGGAAAGGCAATGCCAGGCCCAAACCAGAGCAAAGAGAAACAAGGGGAATTGAAACAAGATCACCGAAATTCCAGCAGACAGGCGGACAGACGAAAGGAAAGGATACAAAGAGAAGCCAGGAGCATCTTTCCTCCGGTTGGAGGTCACAGGAGCTGGCAGGGTAGGTGTGTTCTTCACGGTAGAGTCCTGATGGGGGCTGCCACTCAACACTGACTCCAGGCTCTGCTCGGTGTCCACCTCCCAGAGCACCTGCTGCCCCGACCCCTAAGCAAGCCCCGGTGAGCAACGCAGACCATCAGCCATCTGAATCCTCTGTCTTCATGTCCTCAAGGAGCACCCAGGTCCTAGCAATGGGCCGGGCACTGACTGGGTCCTTCTGGCTGGGCTTAGCAGACTCTTTGCGCTGAATCCAAACCACCTGTGATCGTGCTGACCCTTGCTGAGGCCCCATGGGTCAGGCCATGAGGCATCTGTACACTTTGATAAGCGCAGAGTTTGATACAGTGATGTGATGGATGAGAAATTGTCCTTCCTCCACCTTTTTCCTCTTTCTCCTTCCCCTTCTCTTTTCTGTCATCCTCTGTCCCCTCTCTGTCCCTCTGCCATGCCTCCTGTGCTATGGATTCCTGATGTGCTTGCTTTAGTGCCTGCTGTCTGGCCAGCCGACCCACATCTTTGTCCTGTGTCCCTGGCTGGCCCCACCTGCACTGCGTGTGTGTAATGTCTCCTGTGTATCATGTGGTTGTCCCCTCAGTGTCTGAAGAGAGTCCCTCTGCCAGTGAGTCTGGAGTTCTCCTGTCCCAAGATCCTTCAGCCAAACCAGTCCTGCTACTGCCCCCCAAAAAACCTGCTGCTTTCTCTGGAGACCATGAGGAGACCCCAGTGAAGCAGCTGTCCCTTCTCAAGCAGCCCCCGGCCCTGCCTCCTAAACCCACTGCCCGGATTGCCAACCACATAACAGGTGAGTGGACACGTCTTCCGGGCGTGCAGCCCTCCTTCCCTTCAAGGGATCCTTTCTTTCTCTCTTGTTCTTCTTATCCAGGGCCTAAATGCACATGTCTGGAGGTTCCCTCTGGGGTGTTTGGGTGTTTCTGTGTCTCAGCACATGCATTCATGGCCATACGCCGGAAGCCTTCCATCCTGTGTATCTGTAGCTATGTATACTGTATTTCTGTGACAACTGCAAGACTAGTTGCCCGTCTGGGAGGAATTTGACATCGAAATGTTTACCAAGATAAAGAATCATGCTTTGTTTCTTTCATAGTGAGTTTGTCAAGGCTTTGTATGTTCTGTCTGTAAGTTGCTGTCTAAAACTCAGTATATTTCTTCTATTGCAATTCATCTCAGTAGTATGTTCTCTTGAAGAAGAAGGAAAAAAAAAGACAGTAATCGGCAGGGTATATGAGAAATATTTTTAGAGGAAGAATAAGTTTAGCAGTGTTATCCTGAAATGATTTTGACATTTTCATTTCTGAAGTGTTACTGAATGTTCCCACTGTTACGAAGCTGGGTGATCAATGAAATTTAATTTCACTACACATTTGCACATGAATCAAATGCCGCTTTGTGACTTAATGTGATGGTGTATTCAGAAATTTTAAAAATTTGGAAATGACCCTGATAATAATCCTACCTGGTGCTAATAGGCTGCCTTCTTACATTATATTTGCCATTTTTATAAATATGACATAAATGAGTTCTATAGTGTTTTGTAACCTTCAGTTGGGTGGAGGTAGGAAGGAATATTCATCTATCTTGAGGTAAAAAAAAACCTAAGGCTCAAGAAAAACCAACGCCTTCCCAGGACTGACAGGAATTCTGCAGAAGAGGCCTGCAGGATGTGTTTTCCCTCCTCCTGTCACAGGGATGTGTTCCCAAGACCACGAGCCACTTACCTCATGGCATTGAGTCTTATCAAAATCCAATTTTGACACAGGCTCATGTTGACCTACTGTATGCATCCATCCAGTTGACAAAACAAATATCCATCTAAAGGAACCATTCCACACATTAATAGCTCTTTAGTTCAGTGCCCAGAAATTTAAATTCACAAAACAATCACAAAGGAGAAGCAGCCCCATGGGCCTCCTTCTGAGAGACACACACTTGTGTCTGCCCACCTGCACGTTGCCTCTGGTGGTACGTCATGGGTGGGTTCTCATTCTAGTGAATACTCTACATGGTTTTATTAGCCACTTGGTGTAGATCAAGATTTCCCGGATTGGCTCCGCACAACTCTCCTGTCTTCTCTTGTAAAACACAACAGGGAACATCCTCCACAGTTGACATATAAGAAGCAGCTTTAACTTTGATTTAGTTTTAGGATTAAAATTGCTGAGTAAAAGCTTATGTACCTTTGAAGTCTTTGGCATGGAAATCCCTTGTGAATAATCAATAAGGCTAGAAATGTGCATATAGAACCTCTTGATTCAGTGTGCCCACATTAGCAGGCTGCTGTGCTAGATATCAAGGTGGATGCCACCCTAGGACAGCTCAAGAACACACACGTAGTCAGCCTCTGTGTTCCTGAGTTCTGCAACTCTGGTGCAGCTAACCAGAGGTCACAGATATTTGGGGAGGGGATTACATCTGCCTAGAATGTGTAGAGACTTTATTTTCTTGTCTTCATTCCCTAAACACAATGTAACAATTATATACATGGTATTTACACTGTACTAGGGATTATACATAATCTAGAGATGACTTATAGTACATAGGAGGATGTGTGTAGGTTCTCTGTAAATACGAAGCCATTTCATATAAGGGACTTGAGCACCCATGCAATTTGGTTTCCACAAGGGTCATAGAACCAGTTCCCCACCACTATCAAGGAACAGCTGTGCTTTATATGGAGAGAAGATATATTTCATATATATAGCTAAGATAAGTGTCATTTACAGTAATCCTTGAAGTCAGTGAGAAGGTTGAAGAGAAGTCTGGCACATGAGTTGATTTTTCAAGTGTGAAGGCCATTGTGGAGAATGAGAGAAAGAATGCCAGGAACAAAGATCCTGGTCACAGGCTCGAAGGTGGCAGAGTTTGGGGTGATGGAACAGGGGGCTTAGCTCAGACAGCGGCTTCATCTTGGATGTACTAAGAAGCCAGATTTTCTAGGCAAAGGCACACAGAGGTACAGACTTATTCCCTGCCCACTGGAGAAGGCTTTGGAGGCTTCACAGCATGGAATGATATCATGAAAACTAGTGTTTCAAATATGGTCCTGGATAATTCTGTAGAATGAGCAGAGAGAGGAGAAGTTGAAGGGTTGTCACCACCAAGGTCACTCTTGAGTTGCGAACCCCCAAATCACTAGTAAACAGAATGACTTGAGCCAGAGAAGCTACTCTAATCTTCGCAGTATGAGCCAGAGAAATTCATCTGCTAGTAGTGGGAAGAGAGACAGAGAGCAGACAAGTAGATAAGGTGCTTTAAAAGAAGAGTTACATGGGGCTGGTGAGATGGCTCAATGGTCTAAAGCACCTACTTAGAACAAGCTTGGTAAAGCACAGGGACCGCGGTTCAATCCCCCAGCACCACATGCCAGCCAGCCCCGCCCCCTGGTGGGCTGAGCTGGCCACACACACACACACACACACACACACACAAAATAAAATAAAAATAAAAGAAGAGTTACAGAATTTGCTATGATGAACTCGGGTGTATTAACGTCTAAACTGACATAACTGGCTGGGGATATAGCTTGGTCCGTTGCCTGCCTGGCAAGCACAAGGTCCTGAGTTCAGTTCCCAAGACCGAAACAATCTCTGGATCTTAAGTGACCTAATACCCCTGGGACTCTCTCTGTGTGGAGAATTGAAGATGTCTAAATTGCCCTGGTCTCTCTGGCTTCCTTAGTCCCTTTCCAATGAATGGACTATATTATTTACAAACTGTACCTTCATACAGCTTAAAATTAGATGCACAAAAATTCATTATATTCTTGCTGTTTTGTCCCTGCCAATCTCTTAACTATTCAGGATAAGACCAGTAGAGACCTCTAGGGACTGAGAGTCTAGTACTCTCCTTTTGGGTCTGAACTCAATTAGACTTGCTTAATTTTTATAAATGAACATTCAGTTATAATAAATCTGTATCACCATGAGGCAGCTCTGTTAACCCCATTCTGTTACTAATTACTCTAGAGACATCTGGGCCATGTCAGAAAGAATTAATAAATTAAGAACTCTAGAACTCTAAATGGAGATTTATGGTATGTTCTCAGTGTCTGTTGTTCTGTTGGCATGTTTGAGAGAAAACACAGGACATTGGAAAAGCATCAAGCATGATTAAAAGAGCCCTGACTGTGGTCAATGGCTCAGTAGGATGATGGAGAAAATAAATAGGAGCCTGAACTGAAGCCACTTCTGAGTTCATCTTTATGCAGAGCCGTGCAGAATTATCTCAACTTCAGCACTTGCTTCCACTTTACAAGGAAAACCGTAATTTCCTGGAGAACATCTGTCTTGCTCATCTTCTTTGTTTTCCAACCAGGCAGAGAGGGACTGTCTTGCTCTCTCAAACTCTCTTTCTTCTTTTCTTGTTGACCTTTTCTTCCTGCTCATCTCCTCCATCATGAGCCTGCACAGTGACCCGTGACAGGGAGTCAGAAGTCATGGGCATGAGGCCTTCTGACAGTGCAGTCTCTAGCAAGCTCGTCATGTCTAGAATGTGGTGTGAGATGAATGCACCCCAGTACAGCTTCTCCCTGCCGTGGTGATGGATGGCTGCGGAAGACCAAGACAGAGCCCTGGCTTCTTACTTCCCTAAGTTCCCATCAGTCACCCCTCCAGGCATCTTGGTCACAGAAGTCAGGTGTTTTGCATTGCATGAATAACCTACGCCTTGGGTGTGAGGGACCCAGGAGCGGAGAGGTGACAGTTCAGTCGGCTTGCATGGCAGCTGGACTTTGCAGTGTGACCATCTCAACTTGGTGGTAATAATAGCAACTAGCATTGTTTTATGACTTGATGTGGACCACGTCATCCTGTGACGCAGATGCCATTGTCATCCTTTACCTCCTTTTCACAGAAGATGGAAATGAAATTTGGAGAAGTAAAATCATTTCACCATGGTTACATAGCCAGTAAATGGCAGCGATGGGCTCGAGTCCATTTGGTGGACTTCAGATCTTCATTTTGAACCATGAGTGTATACCAAAATATCTATTTAAAATTTTTTTAATTATCAATTTTGTTTTTTAGCTTTGTATATTTTCATCCAATTAAGAAACTAGAAAATACTGCTTCTTTATTTTTATAACTTATATTAATCTGCTTAGGTTGCCATACAAAATAACATAGACTAGGTGGCTCATCTAAGTTTATTTTCTCTCAGTTCTGGAGGCAGGAGGCCAAGATCAAAGCCTGCTAAATTTCATTTTCTGGTAAGAGCTCTCACCCTGGATGAGAGGAGAAAGAGACAGAGACCACAAGAGAGACATCTCTGGTATCTCTCCTTACAAAGGCACTAATCCTATGAAATAGGGCCCTGTACTTATGAGCTCACTTTACCTTTATTTTCCCCTTATTTTACACACTGTCACATATGTTAGCTCTTTAACATATGATTGGGGTACAGAGGGCCTCAGTCCATATCATAATTCAAGGACAAGCAGTGTCTAGTCTTTCAAAAATAAGTAATGTTCTCCAGGCACTTGGTTACTAAGAGTAAGACCTGAGTTCAGTTGGGTTAGGTTCCAAAGAACTGACTAGAAGGAAATGATCTGTACAAGCCAGGGGCAGAAGCAAATCACATGGGAAGTATGTGACCATAATTAAAGACTTTCAGTTCAGCAAAGAAAGGAAATTATTACTGATCCTTAAGAACAAGTCCCGCTGGTACCGTGAAGCTGCCCAGGGCTTATTTGAACATCTAGAACCCTAGAATACTAGGAAACTTACTGGCCTGGGGCCTCTGTTTTGTGTAGGCCTCACACTTGCAGACTGAACCAGACACAGTTTG